GAGCTGAAGGGTTAAGAGCTAGGCAGGAAGAAGTTAGGTGGGACTCGGAAAACAGAGAGGACTCTGGGAAGAAGGAAGGCAGAGAGGAAATGGGAGGTGTGAGATGGAGGAGAGGTAACATCGCATGGCAGAACATAAATTTTAAAATATGTGTTAATTTAAGTTATAAGAGCTAGTTGAGACAAGCCTAAGCTAAAGGCCAAGCTTTTATAGTTAATAATAAGTCTCCCTGTCATTATTTGGAGCTGGCTGGTGGGACAGAGGAAGACTTGTTATACAGTATGCCTGACACTAAGGTTTTCGTTAATTCAGTATTGTAATCACCCCAAATAGCCTATCCAAATGACTTTCCCCCCTTATGTCTATTTGATGGAGAAGCACACTGAGTTTACTGTCAGGTGTTCTGTGTTGTGTGGCAGCAGGGAGGTACAGCCTCTGGTACACTGAACCTTGAACAGCCATACAAAGGCATATTTATTAATTGTTACACAAAGTTGTTTGGGGGGCAAACAAGTTCCTCAGACCAGAGCCCCGATCTAATCTATATGTTTTTCTGAAGGAAAGCATCTCATCCCTGCTAACTTCATCTTTATTGTGTACCATCTGCAATACTCAACAATTCCAGTGCTTCAGGTGTGGTAGAAGCAGCTCGTGACCAAAGTCATGCAAAGGCTGTAAAGCTCTCCCAGGATAACAATTCCTGACTGCTGCCAAGATTTCTTCGAAGTTAAAGTACTTCTAGACAACAACTATTCTGTTATGTTTACCCTTGATAAACAGTGACTCTGTTAGATTCCTACAACAGTTTACAGAGGTGAAGATGGCTGGAAGTGGCACAGACATTCACACTTTGAGAGAACACTATTCATGCTCTACCTGCTTTGGCCCCACTACCATGCAGGTTATAGTGGACTCTGTAATACTCTTGAGAGTATTGATAGGTTTGCCTGTGTAAAAATCCAGTCTAGGTTTCCAGAGAGAAATGGCTTGTCACCTATATTAAGGTTAAATACTCTCTAGAAAGCCATTTAAACAAGGTAAGTTTACCAGAGACGGACACAGTTTTGGCATAAAAAGCCTAATAGTTCAATCTAAAGGTTCCCAGAGGCTCTGTAATCTTACCACGTTCATTTCCTAAAGACCAAGAATGTTCTATTGCCCTTATCAGTAGATTCAAAAAACCCAACTTACTACCTTCCATTCACATAAACTATGTTCTCTTAACTATGCAGGCCTGTTTCCATGACTATCTGCCAGCATAGGAAGGCTGTGCTGTGAACGGTAGTAACTGTAAATTGTAGCTTAGCACAAAAATGTTTATTTCCTGCTCACACAAAATGTATTGTGGGTGGCTATGATTCCAAGGCATGAGTCTTCCCATACGGTGACTCAGAGACATAGATAGATTGCTCCTGTGTTTAGGCAGTTCCCTTCAACACAATCACTGTGGCAGGGCAGAAGAGAGACTTGATAATCACAAACAGCAATCGACTGTCTCAGTCTCTAGGTGCCTCATTTCTGTTCACATTTCAGTAGTCCTAACAGTCACATGGCCCTGCTCACTTGAAAGGGCAGTTGAGAAATACTGTTTTCTGTGTGTCTAGAAGAGGAGATTGAGACACTGACAACATTAGTAATGTCTGCCAAACAAAGCACTGACTACGTAGTTCACATAGGCCTAGGCCTAGCCACAGAAATACAGAACAGCTTTCTCGAGATGGGGAGTCTGGTGCCATTGGGATCCTCTTCACGGGAGGCTTCCTCTTCTCTCTCCCTTTAGTAAAAGCCACATAAGAGCACGACAATGTGATGTGAGGAGCAGGAGGCAGGAAAGGAGAACACAACCCATAGGATCCATCTTATTTATCTACCACTTTGGTCTTTGCAAGTATCTGAAAATCCTATTCCATCTTTTTGCTTCCTCCAGAGGGCCCTTCTTGCTTTTTTGTTTTTGTTTCTTCGAGACAGGGTTTCTCTGGCTGTCTATAGACGAGCTCTATAGACCAGGCTGGCCTCTAACTCACAGAGATCCGTCTGCCTTTGCCTCTCAAGTGCTGGCATCAAAGGCGTGCGCCACCACTGCCCGGCTCCCCATCCTGCTTCTTCATAAATGTCTTGAGAATTCTTCTGAACACAAATGAAGAACTAAAAGGAAACAAGCTTAGTGCTATTTCGGACCTCCCAGAACTAGAAACAAAATTTTGTTGTTTATAAGATGCTCAGTATAGGACATTTTGTTACAGTAGCCTAGGCAAATCAGGACAACTTCTCTAAGTAATTCATGTGGGTTTTGACCTGTTCAGGCCCAATTCCAGGTAAACATTCAAATTTTTGAAAATAAAAACTTTGAACAGTAAACTACTATGGTGTAACATTTTGATTTAATGACTGTAATATGCTGCTCATTCTACATGTTTCTTCTTACTAGTGACTGACACTCCTGAGGGCTGCCTGCCTAAATGTAGTATGGTTTTGTGACTTTCCACAAATCTAGTACAATGGACATGATACCATGTAGATTCTGAAATGGGTCATAAAAGTGAATGTAGCTTTTGCTTTGTCCTCTTGCTATTACTTCTCTGGGAGGCTCCCTTGAAGAACAGAGTAGCCTATGAGAAAGGTGAACAGTCATGTAGAAAGGCCACATGTGGATAATTCAGGGGACTGTTGCAGCTGAGTTCTAAGTTTAAGCCCGCCCATTATCTCCTGCCTGCCACGGAGGGCCTCCATATTCTATTCTGAAAGGACCAGCCCCCCATTTCGGCAGCCATAACAGCTGAACACGTGCTTGTCTGACTTTGCCTTAGTCACTAAGAGGTTAAATGCCTGCCTCGTGGCAAGGAACCAATCAGAAGTTAGCTGGTGGTGCTATGCTTTACGGCTCTGGGTGTGCTTTACGGACAGTGCACAGCAATGCCGCGCAGAGCATAGCAACCACCCTGAGAGGGCCTATGGGCCATAACAACCAGTTGACCAATCAACACAGGGCAAGCCCGCCAAGCCTGGAGTCACACCAATCCTGAGCGTGTGCATACCCCTAGACACTCCCCTTACACTGCCCTATAAGATCTCTATGCAGACCCTTCGAGCTGTCTTTCCTAGCCATCCACCACGGCCAAAGACCCGAGCTAACATGAGGTTAGCTCTTAAACAACAATAAAGCCTCATGCAGTTTGCATCAAGCTTTCGAATCTGCCTGGTGATTGGGGTGACTGAGGTACTGGGCTGAGAATCCGGAGGCCTGAGCTTTGGGGTGGGGGGTGTCTTACACTTCCAGACTCAGACTCAGACTGAACTACTGGAAAGATACATTGTATAAGCCACTGAATTTGTGAATTTATTGTGCAGTAACCAGAGTATAAATGACATCTTTAAATAACATCCAAGCTCCTATATCACATACGAATCCCACCTTTGACTCATTGTAGTCAGTGGCAAATTCACCTAAAATGTAACTGTAAGGCCGATGCCACCATGTCCTTGGTTCAATATTTTCATAAGGCCTCAAACTGAGAAATCAAGGTGACCTCAGCTGTTTTTGTTTTTTCTTTTCTTTTTAAATTGTAAAAGGTTGCCCCATCCCGAGGGGCTCCGGTAATTCGTGAGTCCGAGGTGGATCACACCTGCAAATAATGGGCGGGAAAGAAAGAGCGGGACCAAGCAGATTTCTTGTCAAGGCCCATTTATTGATTATTACAAGGGGTTTTATAGAGAAAGGGGGAAGCAGAGAAAAAGGAGGTGGGGGAGGAATGAATGTTAATTGCTCTCAGGCAGGTATCCGGAATCTCCTGTGTTAAGGAAGTGGGGAAGGAATAGGTGTTAGTTTCTTCTCAGGCCAGGTCCCGAACCTGAGGGATGGGATGCTAGACTATCTGGCGGCTAGCTAGGCATGGGTGTCGCCAAGGCTGGCTTCTGACAAAAGGTCTCACGTATTTACTATGTAGCAAATTCCCTATGCTCCTGCCCTCACCTCCAAAGCTCTGGGAAGACAGGAATGCACTACCATGCCCAACTCATCTCTCCATTTTTCTTCCCTCGATCCCTCTCTGGATATCTTTCCTTTTCCCCCACTTTTCATTACTCCTCCTTTACTCTTTCTTCTTGCTTGCCTCCGTATCCCAACTTCCCAATGCTTTGTTATCAGCCTGCGGGAAGCTGCCTTCAAATCTTCATTGCTGGATTCATTAGCAGTGCCCGCTGTAGAGGAGAAGCGCAGCCCAAGTGCCTAGGAAACCATCAGTGGGTTCCTCTATTCCACCTTGCTTTGGCTTGACGAGGGCCCAGACTGGGCTCGGTGCCCAGGTGGCGGTGGAGAATGATTCAGAGCCTGCAGGCAGCTCCTCTGATGACGCTGGGGCAGTCACCAGGGCAGTATAAACGCAGTGCAGCTGGGAACGCGTTCTACAGAAGCCAGACACTGGAACTGCGCTCCTCCCACGCTCCCCGCGACAAAGTCACGCTCCACCGGGGCAAAATGGCGCCGTCCCTTTGGCA